TTCATAGTTCCTAAATTATTTTAGTTTTGTCATAAGTTACCCTCTCCGATGTTTCCCTCCACCCTCTTCTCTGCTGTCCATCCCCCAGGGAGGAGGCAATACTTAGATTCTTGTAACAACAACTATTTTTGAGCCACCAAATGGGCAAAAACATACTATTCACGATCACTGTAAGATTGCACAAGTTGAAAAGTTCACCATCATCATTTCAGCATGTTATAAAAGATGAAATGGATATCTTAGACTCAATAACCTGCTCCATGAAGCGGTTGGAGAGCATCTTCCAGAATTAGAGAACACTGGTTCAACTCTCAGTTTTGAGTAAGCCTGCTCAATTTTTATCTACGATGCTATTTGCTCATCTGAAAAATAGGAGGCAGGGATGATACCTACTTATGTCTCATGGTGATTATGAGAATAATATGAGATCCTGCATCGTATTAAAAAAGGGAAAAGCAGACAAACATGACAAAACTGCCAACACCAAAGGCTGTTAAGTGAATTTAAATTTTACTATCAGTTTTATTTCTCTGAGCTACCTTGCACCGATGATTTAAAAATAGACCAAAATAAAGGTTTTGAAAGTAACAGAACACTGAAACGTAAGAATCCCTCTCACCTCTTCATTCCTGATGCACACACGAACATGCACACACACAATATTTGATTACCGTAGCAATGGCTTTAGCAAGGCCTTTGAAGAGCTGAATGTAAGCAGATAGAGTGTGTGGTCCATATATAGTCGACGCTGCCTCATACCTCTGAACCTGCAGGAGAGACAGGGGGACAATCTGGCACGGTTCCACACAGCCCAATCAGATCTTAGGTGAAAGATGATGCTTGGAAATCTCACAAAACTCAAAATTGCCATAACTCAGCGTTATCTGTGACAAAAAAGGTAAGCATTTCCATTGACCAGCCAAATGAATGGTTCCAAATGAAACAGTTGGTTCAGTGAGTGGGTTCTCTTGGCTCACACCATTTGGGTGATCTTCTCTTTAATCCAAAGATGACAAAAGCTCTCTAACATATCTATTGTTAGTCTCTAAGATATAAGTATTTTCCTCCCAAAGCAAACAGAAGGAGGTGAGAAGGAAAAAAAAAGGAGAAGTCTTGGTAACTCCTGGGTAAATTGTGGACAAGCACCTACATAATACATTCAATACATAGTCAATATCACGGGGCGTTTTTCCAAACTCTCAAGAGGCTTCAGGAACCAGGTGCATTATGAATAGCTGGAGAGTTACCTGCCCCCACCACCAGTCTTTTCACCTGTACTCCTAACAAAATCATTCACTTGAGAGAAAGCGGAAGTTGGGGGAACTAGAGTTCTGAACTGACCTTGGAAATAATGAAGCATGGAATCTCCAAATACAATCTCTGGCTTATCATTCGCTTATTTCCCCTAAGGAAAATCATCTTACAGAAACATGTTCGGGGAAATCTCGAAAGAAGATCCGCAATTTTTACAGTGACCTTAGTTTACTTAAATGACGAGAAGGTCGCACATTACCTGGTATTCCTCATAGGTGGCAATGTAATGTGTATAAACATTGCATAGACCTGAAGCAACCACGGTCATATTCTGCATCCCATGAGACGCAAACTCCTGTGGGAAAGGCAGAGCCAAATGAAACGCCTCTTCATCTTCAAGTGTGTTAGCGTCCAAATGACACTGACTGCAGTATCACAATCATGAATTAGCCATGTAAACGGTCTACCTTAGCAAATTCATTCCTAATAATAAAAACCTATGACACAAAGATGAAAAGTTAGAGCCATAACTTTGCACTATAATTACGCTCATCAGTGGATCTACGAACATCTTGATACTTGTATTCTGTACAGGCAGAATTATCTTATTACTAAAATACAAGTATCTTTACCAATTTCATAAAAATGGCAATGGGTAGAGATTAGTCGAGTACAGTGTTATATCCAGATCCCAATTCAACATATTATTTGTGTCTTTTTATAATCCTTTGCATTATTTCCTGAATATCTCAAAATCATATGTGGGGCTCAAATTCAGAAATCCCAACATGTGATGTATTTTATTTAGAATATTGACATTAATTCAATATATTACAGTACTTGGGAGTTATTTACTATTTACTCTATAAAATTATTATTATTTTAACTTAAAATACCAATAAAATAGCGTTAATATGACTACAATTCCTATAGTTTTTGTCTGGTCTTTATATCATCAGTGTTTCATGGTCACATCTACCCATTCCTTTTTAAAAAACTTGAGTCATCTTCAAAAAGCCAACAAAATTCATTGCTATAAAGTGGATTCTGACTTATAGTGACCGTGGGGCAGGGTTGAACTGCCCCATTAGGTTTTCCAAGTCTATACATCTTCATAGAAGCAGGACATATCTTTTTCCCAAGGAGTGGCTGGTGGGTTTGAACCACTGACTCATCAGCTGGTAGTGAGCGCTTAACGACTCTCCCACCAGAGCTTCTCCTACTCATCTTACAAAAGATCAATTTAAAAGATGCTAGATCACAGAGATGGTGGATTTTTCCCTCCTCCCTATAAATGAATATATTTAGAAATTCAGATTTAGATGTTTCATTTTTAACTTACTGCTTGAACAGCCTCCCGTAATCTTCGTCCAGACATGGTCCTGAGTCAAGAAAACAGAATGTTCTAAGTTTTTTCCCATAGAAATTATACAAAAAGTCTCACAGTGAAAGCTAGAAAGGTACCCTGGCTCATTATCCAACAGTGAAGTACATGGGAACTCAAGGACGAAGCAACGCTGCTATTGACCTTCTTTCCTGGTCGCTATCAATTGGCATCAACTAGATGGCAAAGAGTTTGGTTTGTACTATCTTCAAAACATATGTTTTAAGTGAATCTTTTTGATGGTTATACTTTATGTCATCTTGCACTTATGTAAAGGTAAAGGTAGAACCCAGCCTATAGGGTGTGGCCTTTTTATAAGAGAAGCTTCGGAGAATGTGATAGTTTGTGTGTGTGTGTGTGCCAATGTGGCTTCTGTAGACACATGTGGGCGGAGTTTAGCCTGTCAATCTGGTTGCAGCTTGATTGGAGGGCGACTGTGATAAATGACTCTGAAGGCGGGTCTCTCTCTGGCTCTCGCTGTCCCCCTGGCTCTCGCTGTTTTCCTCTTCCTGTTGACAAACCACATGGAGCCACACTGAGACCTGCAAGAGTCCTGTAGATGCTTCCACTGCCACGGGATTCACAAGACTGCATCCACAGCCTGTAATCTTTCTGCATTTTACATCATTGCATGTGCTGCATGAGTCTGAAGAAGGATTTATGGATTAGTATCAGATTTATGGACTTGATCTGGACTGGGCTGGGATGGTTTTTTAATATACAATTACTCTTTGAAATAAAGCTCTTTCTTAAACGTATATGAGTGTCTCTGGATTTGTTTCTCTGGTCATCCCGGACTAACACAAAGAACTTCTCTCTTTTGCCCTTCGCCTTCCTGTTTGACTGGGTCTTGTGTCTCATGTCTGGGGCTGGCAACACATGTGGCCCACCGCACTTGGAAGTTGTCAGTGCCCTGCTATTTTCCTGCAGACATTGCATCCACATAACTCTGCATCCAGTGGCCTGTGGTCTCTCAACTTCTCACTTTACCTTCTTCTTCACACATTGGCAGCTGCATGAGTTTAAGGGCCTCCAACTGGCACCTGATCCATTGACCCAAGTTGGAATGAGCTGGGCTGCTTTCTTGACATAACATTCTTTTTTATTATTAAATACTTTTATTAGGGGCTCTTACACCTCTTATCACAATCCATACATTCATCCAGTGTGTCAAGCACATTTGCATATATGCTGCCATCATTATTTTCAAAGCATTCTCTTCCCACTTGAGCCCTGATATCAGCTCCCCATTTCTTCCCCCTCCCTCCCCCATCTTCCCTCCCTCACGAATAGATTATTATTTTCACATTTTACATCATCCTCCGTCACTCCCCACACACTATTCTGTTGTTCATACCCCTGGGAGAGGGTTCTAGATTGATCTTTGTGATTGATCCCCCCTTTCTTCCCCTACCTTCCCCTAATCCTCCTGGTATCTCTGCTCTCATTGGTGGCCCTGAGGGGTTAATCTCTCCTGGATTACCTCTGTTTCAGGCTCTTATCTGTATACATATATGAGCGTCATTGGTTTTGTTTCTCTAGAAATCTCAGACTAACACAATCCAAAGCTGAAAATAACTAATGAACCAAAGGAGAGCAATGTGATCGTTTTCATTCAGACTCAACAAAGTAATTTGGCTCTGTTCTATCTTACAGGAGCTGAGGCATGTAGAGAGTGGACCAACCATATCACTTATTCATGTACCCTTCAGTCAAACAATGAGCACTTGTCAGGAACCAGACCCCCTTCTAGGTAATAAGGCTTCAGCAGTATGCAGCTTACATGTCAGTAGGGGAGATGGTCAATAAGCAAATAGAAAGAATAACATGATAGTAAGTGCTCTGGATACTAATAAAGCAGACCAAAGATGAAAGAGTACAGTTCTGGTCTTGATGGTAATGGTGGTCATGATACTGGTGAGGGTGAGGGTGAGGGTGAGGGTGGGGGTGGGGGTGGGGGTGGGGGTGGCAGTAGAGGAAGCAGTGGCAGTAGTGCAATGGTGGCAATATGGCTAGGTGATGATGGATAAAGGCTATCTTATGTAGTATAATTCGGACTAGAATCTTTATTAAAGTGAGAATTGAAGGTATAAAAAGAGGCACTAGGCCAGCCAGAGGGAGAGGATTGAGACAGATGCAATCATAAGTTCAAAGATCTTGAGAAAGTATCAGTTTGATGAGTCTGTGAACTGCGATGAGACCAAAGCAAGTGTGGCAGGGACGGGTAAGAGGTAGAACATCAAGAAATCAGATTAAAGAAGTTGCTCAAGGCCAGATCATGTTTGTCCTTTGGGGATGTTATAAGAGTTTGAAGACTAACTAGAATTAAGTGGGAAAATATCACAGGTTTTACCAAGGTAGTGACATGATACAATATTTTTCAATGGATTTCTCTGATTGGTCTGTAATTGAGAAGAGACTACACAGAGACAAAGAGGAAAGCAAAAAGATCAAATGGAAGAGGCCGCAAACCTCTAGGTGGCAAAAAGAAAATGGCAGAAGGGGTTAGGTAGAATGAAAAAGGCCCCAGTACATAAAGCAAACATCAACATAACTGCAAAGAGCAATAAACAACTCCATAGTCATTGCAAGAGACTTTAACAAGTCACTTTTGATGAAGGACAGATTGTCAAGAAAGGAACTCAACAAAGATGCAGAAGATCCCAACACAATTAACCAAGGGAACTTCACAGACACATACCGAACACCTCACCCAACAAAATCAGGAAGGACTTGCTTTTTCAGTGCATGCAGCTCATTCTCCAGAGGTCATATGTTACGATCCAAACAAATCTTCAGTCGTTTTCAAACATGAAAATAATATTAACATCTCAGACTGCAAGGCTACTATACAATTAGAAACCAATAACACAAGGAATACCTTGGGAGGTGGGGGGGAGGGCAGGAATACAGGCAGAATAATAACTTGCTTAAAAGCTACCAGGTAAGGGAAGAAATAGACTACGGGGACAAAATTCTTTGAACCACATGAGAATGAAAGCACAGCATGCAAGAAGCACTGACCACAACAAAAGCCGTGCTCAGACGCCATCAAGTCAGTTCTGACTCACAGCGACCCCGTGCACAACACTAGCCAGTCCTGGGCCACCCTCACCATTGTTCCTCTGCTTCCGCCCATTGTTGTAGCTACGGTGTCCATCCATCTAGTTGGGGCCCTCGCTTTCACTGCCGCTCTACTTTACCAAGCATGATGTCCTTCTCCAGGGACTGGTCTTGCCTGACAGCATGTCCAGTTTTTAAGACGAAGTCTGGCCATACTTGCCTCTTAAGGAACACTCTGGCAACACTTCTTCCAAGACAGATTGGTTTGTCCTTTTTGCAGCCCAGTGTACTTTCAACAGTCTTTGCCAGCACCACAATTTAAATGCACCAATTATTCTTGTCTTCTTTATTCGGTGTACAACTTTCACATGCATATGAGTAATGGAAACACCATGGCTTGGGTCAGGGACACTTTGGTCCTCAAAGTAACATCCTTGCTTTTCAATAATCTAAAGAGATCTTATGCAGATTTATTATTATAAATCATTTTATTGGGGGCTGGTACAATTCTTACCACAAGCCATACATCCATCCATTGTGTCAAGCACATTTGTACATATGTTGCCATC